ACCCTACGTCCGCTCCAAGGGCCGGAAGTTTGAGCGTGCCAGAGGCCGACGGGCCAGCCGAGGCTACAAAAATTAATGCAGAGATGTACTCTGTTAATAAAAAGATTTTAGATTCTAATGGCCCCCTCTGTTGTTTGGATTGGGTTAGGATAGTACACAAGGGAGGTTGGCATCTACAGGTGGGGACGCATTTGGCTTGGGGGTTCATCCTGTAGGGGGCGCTCTTGGCCTCTGCCTTGACTTTGCGCATGCGTGGTATCATCTCACTGCACCTGTTGGGCCCCCTGGAGCCCAAAGTCCAACTTCTTCCTGGTTGTCAGGTGTTTCTGTACCTGCTTCCTGGTGTTGTCATCGTCTACCAGGGCACCTGGGGGTGGGGCTGCAGTGGGCGGGTGTGGGAACGGGCAGGGAGGCCAGGCAGGTGGCCAGCAGTGGTGCCCGCAGGGCCCTCCCTGTGTTTACATTAGGGGCTGGGTTCCCTGGGCCCCGGGCACAGCCGGAAGAGTGGCAGAGGTAGAGTAAGAGGCCTTCAGCCCTGTTCTGACCTCTGAGAAGGCAAGAGATGGGAAGACAGAGGTAGAGGGCTGTTGTGGGACCATTGCTGTGGTTGGGAAACAAGGTGCTTGGGTCACAGATCTGGAGTTTGGGAGAGGGCAGGACAGGGTTAAAGGACCCTGACCAGGAGATGGTGTGGAGTTGAGCAGAGCGCAGGGCTGCTTGAGGATGCTGGCCTTGGCTTAGATGGGCCACCAGGGTCACCCACGGGTGGTGGGGAGAGCTGGTGAGCCTGCGGCACACTGAGATTAAGGGATCAAGGCAGGGGAACGGGTGGCTTGACGTGGCAGCCCCTGTTGCCTTGGTTAGGGGCAGTAGGATGGCCAGCCCATCCTGGTACACTTGGAAATGCTGAAGGAGGCTGGGTTGTGTTTTGTGGGCAGCAGGCTGGAGGCCATCATGTGGCTGAGCAAAAGTGACTAGCTGGGGCTCACACGGTTGGAGGCTGTCCTGTGCTCAGCCTGGCCCTTAGGCGGCAGGGCTTAGGGTAGGTGCTGCTGTGGGGAACCTGGCAGCCGGCAGTCATTTGGTCACCCAGGGATAGCTGCAGGGAGCTCTTGGTTTGTCTGCAGGGCCCTTCCAGAGGCCCCCGATGGTCCATCCTCTGGGGCAGCCAGAGCTGGGTAGCTGGGCCCTGTGCCACAAACCATCCCAATGGCGGCCTCCCAACTGGCAGCGCTGGGTGAGGAGGAGGAGGGGCCCGGACCGCGGCCCCTCACTGAGGCCAGCCCCGCCTTTCTGTACTCCGAGGGCCAGCGGCTGGCAGTGGAGGCACTGCTGAGCGAGGGCAGCGACGCCTTCCAGGCCTGTGTGCAGCAGGAGGGGCTGCGGCCCTTCCTGAGCGCAGAGGAGGTGCAAGCGTTGGCTGCGGCTGCTGAGGACTGGACAGAAGCCAGGCCAGAGCCTGGCGGGGCCACATGCACCGCCTCCGCTGCTGCTGGGGCGACGGGCAGCCTGACCTACTGGCCTGGGCAGTCGGAGGAGCCAGCACCCGTGCTGCGACTGGGCTGGCCAGAGGACAGCACATGGAAGGGCATCACTCGGGCACAACTGTACACCCAGCCCCCTGGCGAGGGCCACCCGCCCCTCAAGGAGCTGGTGCGACGAGAAATCCAGGCTGCCCGCAAGGTGGGTGTCTTGGGGCTGTTGGACTTACCAGCCTGCCCCCAGCTGCAGCCCCCTTGGGCTCTGGGACCTGCAGGTCCACAGCTCTGCTCCCCAGGACCCCCTCCAGCATCAGTGCCCCTAGCACCGAGTCATGACCCTGCCTGAATCGCAGGTGTCACCATGTCCCATTATCACCCGGATGGGGCTTTGTGCTCCCCCAGGGAGGGCCCATGGGCCTCAAGCCTCAGCCTATGCTCCAGCAGGGTGCACTGTGTTTCCATGGTTTTTCAAGGACCCTGTGAGGTAGGACTCTTGTGCCCTTGAGAAGACCGGAAAACCAAGGCCCAGGAGTATAAGTGTCCAAGGGACTTTGAACCAGGATGGCTGGCTGCTGAGTCGATGCCTGGTCCTGGCCCTCAGCACAGTGGGGTCCCTAAAGTGTGCCTTAGTCTCCTTCGGGCCAGCCCTATGGTCCCCTGCACCCAGGCTATTCATGAGGCCCCAAAGGGGCAGTCACCCAGTGTGCTCTGAAGGTGTCCAGCCACTGACCAAGAACAGAGCTGCTTTGGACTTGTGTTCCAGCCTGGGAACACTTCATCACTGTGAACAAGATTTTGGGGTGTTTTATTTATTTTATTTTTTGGCGTAACCGGGGATTGAACTCTGACCCTTGCGATTGCCAGGGAAGCGCTCATTATACTTAGCCATCTCCCCGGCCCTCTATTTGTTTTTTGAGAAAGCGTTCCCCAGTGTACTCCAGGCCGGCTTTCAACTTGCAGCAATCCTGCCAAAGCCTCCCTAGTGCTGGGATTACAGGCGTGTGCTTAGCATGTAGATATGATTTCTTTTTTCTTTTTTGTGGTACTGGGGAGTGGATGTGATTTCTTATGGCAGTCTCCAAGCAGTTAAGGGCTGAGAGCCTTAGAAAGGCTACCATGTCTCATTCAGTGTCCTGGGGTCGGCCCCTTTAGCTCCCTTGAACTCTCACAGAAGCCAGGCCCTACACTCTGAGTGTCCATGGGCCCCGCCCACACATCCACCACCCCTGTCGCCCCTGCAGCTGGTGGCCGTGGTCATGGACGTCTTCACAGACCCAGACCTGCTTTCGGACCTGGTGGATGCAGCCACACGCCGCTGGGTTCCTGTGTACCTGCTCCTGGACCGCCGGAGGCTGCCTGCTTTCCTAAAGCTAGCTGGGCAGCTGCGGGTGAACCCCTGGGCCACGGAGGTAGGGGCAGGACAGAGGGACCCTGGCGCCCCCACTCCCCTGGCACTGGGGACAGCAGCAGAGGCGCCTCCATGGGTTGGCGCTGGGAGGGTCCTCTAGGGTTCTGTGCCCATGTCACTGTGGGGGCAGGATGCCCAAGCCCATGCTCCCTGGGCCGCTGAGTCGGGGCACCCTTGAGCCCCAATACCCTAAGAACCTGCGCTCCCCCAGAACCTGGACGTCCGTGTCGTGCGGGGCTGCACTTTCCAGAGTCGCAGGCGACGGCAGGTGAGCGGAGATTCACAGGAGAAATTTGTGCTGCTGGACGGTGACAGGGTCATCTCAGGGTCCTACAGGTACGCCCCCCCCCCCCCAGCATCCGGACCCTGTGTAGGGCTCAGGGCGTGGGCAGTGCCCCCTTCTGGGCCTCTCCAGGGCTGCCCCAGTGGCCTTTTTCTCTGGTTGGCCCGGGGTTCCTGATCTGGAAAACTGGAGGTAGACTCCGGAGGAGCCGGGTGGCCTGGATTCAAACTCTCGCTGTTGGCTGCGAGACTATGGGAAACTTAATTCACCTCTCTGGGCCTCAGCTTCCCCAGTGCAGAAGAGGAAAACACCGGCCTTTAGAGCGAGACCTCTACAGGAGCCACTTGCGCTTGGACTGAGTTCGGGGGGCTCCATGTGACTGGGGGATGCTAAGTTGCACCACCCCCATTAGAAGAACCAGAAACACTGCTGGGTACCCTGGAACCCCAGAAGTGCCCGCCTGAGTCCATCGCCTAAGGCAGCAGTTGTGAGCCTGAGGGCCTCAGCCCCCCAGAGGACTACCTGGTCGTGCAACTGTTTCCTGTTCCTTTTCCCCACCTGGCCTGGGAGGGAGCCCCTTCTGGCAAGTTCCCAGTTGATGTGCATGCGGCCACCCAGGGACACACCCACTGCCCTGTGTGGCATCTGGGATCCCAGTGCTTGGGGGGCCGAGGCTCGGGGATCCTAAGTTGGAACCCTGTGCTGGGCAACTCAGTGATTTCAGGAGCAGCAGCCAGGGCTGGAGATGAGTGGAAAGGCTCTGGGTTCAACCCCCAGCACCTGCGAAGAAACAAACCAAGAACCAAAAAAAAAACCAACCCTCTTCTAGCTGCGCTGGGGTGTCTTGGAGTGGAGAGCATGTGCTTTCCTGGCCTCATGGGAGGCTGGGAGTGTGGTGTCCCGCGCGTCACGTAAGGAGCACTCAGTGAACGTCAGCTCTTACGAACACCACGTTTCATCAGCTTTGACGTGCCGGCAATGGAAAGATTTTTTTTTTTTTTTTTTTTTTTTTTCTGTGAAACCTGGGATTGAACTCAGACCCTTGTGCTTGCCAGGGAAGCACTTATTGGAAAGATGCACCTTGATCCCAGTGTGAGAAGCTACTCATTTCTCAGTGTCAAGGAAATATAGTAGTACAGCTGGGCGTGGCAGTGCATGCCTGTAATCCCAGTACTTGGGAGGCTGAGTCAGGAGGATCTTCAGAATTTCAAGGCCAGCCTGGGTTTTACAGTGAGTTCAAGGCCAGCCTGAACCAGAGTGAGACCCTGTCTCAAAAATATACAAAAAAAAAAAGAAAGAAAGAAAGAAGAAAAGAAAGAACTACAAGGTGCATAGGACCACGGTTTGATTCCCAACTCCAGAAGCTGCACCAGACCTGCACTTGAGGCACCCTGACGTAGCCTAAAAAAAAGAACAACCAATCCAAAACAAAACAAAACAAAACAAAAAACCTACAAAACCACCACACCTGTAGTCCCAGCGGTAGGGAAGCGGAGGTAGGAGGACTGTTGTGAGTTCCATACCAGCCTGGGCTACAAAATGAGCTCAGGGCCAGCTGAATTGTTATCTAGACCCTGTCTCAAAAAGACCAAAAAAAGAGACAAAGAACTACAGTATAGTGAAATCCATGGACGGTTCCTCTCTGAGCTCCCAGCTCCTGGTACACAGCCCTAAAACAGACAAAGATGGGGTCACAAGAGGTTGACCAGGGCCTCTGCCCATTTACTGGGGGGAAGGGTAGGGAAGGCGTGCGAGGGGTCTGGGGGAACCAGGCCAGGATCACAGCAGGTATCGGAGCAGCAATGGGCCCAGGGCCAAGCTGGTTGCTGCTATCACCCTTGGGCGGCCTGTGGGGCTGGGGCTGTGGTTGCACAGGTGGCCGGAGCAGCAGGAGGTGGTGAGGATGTAGGTGAGGCCCATGTAGCTCACGGGCTCCTCGCGGCCGCAGCTGGTGGCGCGCACACAGCCTTTGTTGATGACGGGCCCCACGCCCTGGGCCACCCCACGGCCTGTGAAGCAGTCCTCCTCGTCCCCGCAGTGCATGCGGGTGCTGGGGCAGCGCGTGGAGTCAGTCAGCTCACAGAAGAAGCAGTCCTTGATGCCTGCCACGCCTCGTGGCAGCGTGGTCACCAGCAGCAGCAGCCGCAGCCAGCCAAGGACCATGGTAGCCCAGCGGCAGGAGTGGCGCCCAGGCCGGGCCGGGGTGTCGCGGACCTTGTGGGACTGCTGGATGAGTGGCGTCTGGGCTCCCGTTGTGGCCTTTGGCGCTGGCCTGGCCTCTCTGTCAGCACCTGGAGTGTCCTTGGCCTCCGAGGCTCTGTGTCCCTCTCATGGGGTGCCACGGGTCTGTGAGTGGAATGTGCGACCTCACAGACACCTCGGGTTCCACAGCCATCCTGGGGGTGAGGTCACAGGTGGGGGCCCTCTCACCCCTGAGCAGCAGTTCAGCCCGCCCACCTGAAACCCAGTGGGGACTGTCACACTGCTGAGGAGGACGCAAGGACTCCAGGGAGAACATGGGCTGCCACCTGTCTGCTGTGTCCAGTGCCTGGCTGTGACTTCAGCTCCCGTGTCCTGTGGCAACCCCATTCTCCACATGGGTCCTCTGAGGCCCAGGACAGCAATGTGAGATGGCTGAGATCCCTTGCTTGGCCTCAAAGCCCTGGGGAGAGGCTGGGAGTGAGGAGGGCGTTTACCAAGAGGGGACTTCTTTCTTTTTTGTTTTGCTTTTTGTCTTTTTGAGACAGGGTCTCACTGTGCAGTTCAGGCTGGCGTTGAGCTCACTTTGTAGTTAAGCTTGGCCTTGAACTTGCAGCAATCCTCCTACATCAACCTCCTGAGTGCTGAGACTACAGGCATGCGGAGACTGTATTTCAAGCCAAGTTCTGTGCCAGAGGCTTTGGTACTGGTCACTTCGGGGTCTGGAAGAGCCAGGCCACTGGCCACTGGCAGGGAGCCTGACACCTGTCCTTGCCTTTGAACCTGCCTGTGTTTCAGCTCCATGTTACAGAGCAGGAGCACTCCGAGCCTGGCGTAAAATCCATGCTTGATAAATGGTAGTCTTTCTAGGTAGCAGCGCCGTTATTTTTTAGGTTATTATTATTATTATTTTTAGCATATTTGGTAAATGATCTCACTCTGCAGCTTGGACTCATAGTGATCCTCTTGTTTTCAGCCTCCTCAGCACTGGGATTACAGGCATGTGCCACCATGCCTGGCCTGGGTGGCCAGCTCAGGTGCCTGGGGACGGGGCTGCAACCTCATGGGATGCCGGGGATGGAACCCTGGTCCCTGCACTTGCCTAAGCAGGCACTTAGTCCTCTGAGCTATCTCACCAGCCCAGCAGCACAGTCTTAATACAGCCCTGTGGGAGCCAGACACGGTGGCCCACACCTGTGGTCCTAGCACTCCGGGAGGCACTTTGGAGCCCAGCTTGGGCAATTTAGCAAGATCTTGGCATCAAATACATTAACATTTTAAGCTGGGCGTAGTGGCACACACCTGTAATTCCAGCACTTAGGAGGCTGAGGCAGGAGGATTGCTGTGTTTCAAGGCCAGCCTAGGTTACAAAGTGAGTTTAAGGCTAGCCTGGGGTACACAGTAAGATGCTGTCTCAGGAAAACAAACAAACAAACAAAACCTGGGCCAGTGAGATAGCTCAGTGGACTAAGCACCTGCTTAGGCAAGCACAGGAAACAGTGTTCCAGCCCCAGCACCACAGGCCACGCTGGCCTACCCCTGGGCACCTGAGCCGGCCACTGAGACTGGACGTGGTGGTGCACGCCTATAATCCCAGCACTGGGGAGGTTGAAAACAGGAGGATCATTGCAAGTCTGAGCTGCACAGTAAGACTATGTACCAAATACATAAAACAAAACAACACCCCCTCCAGCCTAGCTCCAGATGGTCCTAGAACTATCTTAGGCCATGTTGATCCTCTGGCCAAGGTAGAGGCTTCTGTTGTCTCATTCTGCAGAACCAGAAGCTGACATTAGAGAAGTCAGCTTGCCCCAGGCCACACAGCTAGCACTGAGCAGGTAGCTAGGCTGTAGCTCTCTGACCCCCGCCCTGTGCCCCCCAGCTTCACATGGAGTGACGCTCGCCTGCACCGGGGCCTGCTGACCCTGCTGACGGGAGAGATCGCCGATGCCTTCAGCCACGAGTTCCGCACGCTGTACGCAGCCTCCTGTCCTCTTCCACCTGCGCCCGCCCCAGGGCCCCTAATCAGTGTCTCTGGGGAGGTGTCACCAGCCCGGAGCCCACACCGCGTGGTCCACCGCTGCCCAGTCGCCCCAGTGTCACCGCTGCTCCCCAATGGTCCCCTGGCCCACCGCCTGGCTGCCTGCCGCCTCCTGGAGGGGGACATGAAGGAGGCCCCTGCACCAGCAGGGCCGGCACTCAGTGACATCCTCCGCAGCGTGCAAGGTGCTCAGACGGCCAGCGGCCCCCCAACCAGGCCCAGTCGATCCCTGTGGGACCTGAGCCGCCTGTCTCAGCTGTCAGGCTCCAGTGACGGGGACGGTGAGGTGAGACTGGTGGCCACTGCCTAAGTAGAGGTGGCAGAGGCCCAGAGGGACAGTGCTTTTCACGGTCATGGGGGTGGCCCTCAGGGTCCCTCCTTCCCTCCCTTCCTTTTTCCCTTCCTTCCTTCCTTCTGTGGCACTCAAGATTGAACCCAGAGTTTGCACTGAGCTACATCTCCAGCCCTTTGTTATTTATTTACCTTTTTTTTTTTTTTTTTTGGTCTTTTTGAGACAGGGTCCTGCTATGCAGTTCAGGCTGGCTTTGAGCTCACTTTATGTGTATTTTTAAAAAAAATTTTATTTTTTATTTTTTGGCAG